GGTTTGGGACAAAGACATTGTGTTATGTAACTATGTATGTGTGAGTTATAAAAAATACATCAAATTCAGAAGAATTGACGAAAATATCCACATCGTAAAAGAGGACAATATTCAGAATTCTTCATGAAACACATGCAAATAAAACATATTTAAAAATGGACAATTTTTTCGGAATTTAAAATGAATAGATTACTTTAATGTTTGTTTTGTTGGTACACACAAAGGGTGAAAATGTGTAAGCAATTTCGAAAAATCTGATGAGAATCGTAGAATACTAAATTTTGGAGATGGATGAAGTCTATGGACAGAAAGCAAATAGAGAAATGTGTAAACTCACATTTAAAAACGGTCGGAGATTTCATTTATTTAATTAACATAGATCAATTGTATGAACAAGCCCAAATATTATTCCAAGACTTGTATTACTCTTCTCTTTGAATTTTCACATGGAACATATAATGTAAAGTCTGAGCATATTTTCATGTGGAGATGAATAGGCCAAGTTGGAGTTCTCCAACAAAGAAGCTCTTGAGCCACGACATAAGCCAAGTTGATGATTCTAATTAACGAAACAACACATTGACACTAAATGCTATATCAATATTTTTGTTAGTATATAAATACAATATTGCTTTGTTAAACGATTCTTGAGGCACTTGCACACGAATTTCAACTTAGAAAATGTCTGAAACGATACATTAGACTAAGATTAAAGAGTTTGATGACATATATGTTCAGCAAGTTGCTAAACATCGTTTGGCTTTTGTTACCAAACTTAGAAACAGAAGAAAGAAGCCACAAAAAAGGACAGAGAGAGTTTAAAGATGAGAAGTGGATGCATTTGTCTGTGTGTGAAAGGTCTCAACTTTGAACCACAAAATGTTAACTCTGTTTTTTTATTTTTCTTGTTTGTTCCCAAAATACCCTTGTTCAAAATACTACCCACTCACTCCATTCATCCTCTCTCTGTCACTGATTCAACACGTGGCCACCCGGATGGGTCCCACCATTCCCCTTACCCACCTCCCGGTTTATATAAACCCTTAACACTTCATCGCTCTCAAATCAAATCTCTCCTCTCTCTTCTCCTCTTAACAACCAAACAAAAGGCAAAAACAGAGCTTTTATTATAAATCTCAAACTCGAACTCTCACTTTCACCACCAAAAACTGATTGGACATACTTTTTTTTTTTTTAAATGGCTTCTTTCACGGCGACGGCGGCTGTTTCCCGGAGATGGATTGGTGGTGGCAATCATACTCAGCCGCCATTATCGTCTTCTCAAACCTCCGACTTAAGTTACTGTTGCTCCATACCCATGACCAGTCGTGTCCAACGAAAGCTCAACGTTTCTTCTGCGCTTCACACTCCTCCTGCTCTTCATTTCCATAAACAACCCTCCAACTCTCCCGCCATTGTTGTTAACCCCAAAGCCAAAGAATCCGACGCAAAGCAGATGAATTTCTTCCAGAGAGCGGCTGCGACGGCGTTGGACGCGGCGGAGAATTTCCTCGTCAGCCACGAGAGGCTACACCCTCTTCCTAAAACAGCCGATCCTAGTGTTCAGATCGCCGGAAATTTTGCTCCGGTGAATGAACAGCCCGTCCGGCGAAATCTTCCGGTGATCGGAAAAATACCCGAGTCGATCGAAGGAGTGTATGTGCGGAACGGAGCTAACCCTCTTCATGAGCCGGTGACTGGTCACCACTTCTTCGATGGAGACGGGATGGTTCACGCCGTGAAATTCGAAGACGGTTCAGCTAGCTACGCTTGCCGGTTTACTCAAACAAACCGGTTTGTTCAGGAACGTGAATTAGGTCGACCGGTTTTCCCCAAAGCCATCGGTGAGCTTCACGGCCACACCGGTATTGCACGGCTCATGCTATTCTACGCTAGAGCTGCAGCCGGTTTAGTCGACCCGGCTCAAGGTACCGGAGTAGCAAACGCCGGTTTGGTTTATTTTAACGGCCGGTTATTAGCCATGTCGGAAGACGATTTGCCTTACCAAGTACAGATCACTCCGACCGGTGACTTGAAAACCGTTGGCCGGTTCGATTTCGACGGTCAATTGGAATCCACAATGATCGCCCACCCGAAAATCGACCCGGAATCCGGCGAGCTATTCGCTCTGAGCTACGACGTCGTTTCGAAACCTTACCTGAAATACTTCCGATTCTCGCCGGACGGAACTAAATCACCGGACGTTGAGATCCAGCTCGATCAGCCGACGATGATGCACGATTTCGCGATAACAGATAAATTCGTCGTGATACCGGACCAGCAAGTCGTTTTCAAGCTCCCGGAGATGATCAGAGGTGGTTCTCCGGTGGTTTACGACAAGAACAAGGTTGCAAGATTCGGAATTTTAGACAAATACGCAAAAGATTCGTCGGAAATCAAGTGGATTGAAGCTCCGGATTGCTTCTGCTTCCATCTCTGGAACGCTTGGGAAGAGCCAGAAACAGAGGAAATCGTAGTGATCGGTTCTTGTATGACTCCACCGGACTCAATTTTCAACGAATCCGACGAGAATCTCAAGAGTGTCCTGTCTGAAATCCGACTGAATCTCAAAACCGGCGTATCAACTCGCCGTCCGATCATCTCCGAGGAAGAGCAACAAGTCAACTTAGAAGCAGGGATGGTCAACCGAAACATGCTCGGACGTAAAACCAAATTCGCTTACTTAGCTTTAGCCGAGCCGTGGCCTAAAGTCTCCGGCTTTGCTAAAGTCGACCTCTCCACCGGAGAAGTCAAGAAACATCTATACGGCGATAACCGTTACGGTGGAGAGCCTCTGTTTCTCCCCGGAGACAAGGAAGGAGAAGACGAAGGACACATACTCTGTTTCGTTCACGACGAAAAGACATGGAAATCGGAGTTACAGATTGTTAACGCCGTTAGCATGGAGGTTGAAGCAACGGTTAAACTTCCGTCAAGGGTTCCGTATGGATTTCACGGTACATTCATCGGAGCTAATGACTTGGCGAAGCAGGTGGTTTGATGGATCCTACGTGTATATACAGAAAAAATACGTATACATGAAGAAGCTTCTAGAAGAAAAGAGAGAGGGATTTACCAGTGGGATGCTCTGCATATACGTCCCCGGAATCTTCTCCTCTTTGTTTTTTATTTTTGTTCTTTTGGGTTTTTGCTCTGTTTTCTTCTCTTGGGTGCGGTTTGCTAGTTCCCTTTTTTTTGGGGTCAATCTAGAAATCTGAAAGATTTTGAGGGACCAGTTTGTAGCTTTTGGGCTGTAGGGTAGCCGTTTCCGAGCTCAGCTGGTTTCTGTTATTCTTTCACTTATTGTTGATCATAGTGAGAAGAAGTATATAAAATATATTAAACACAAAATTATGTTTATATTTGTGTACATATATATGCATGAATTAAGGAACAGTTCTATTCGATTTAAAATATCCTTTCTGTTGTATATGGTTTTGATCTCATTTTTCTATTCATGTCTACATATCGAAACGTTTACTGGTTTGTGCCCGATATTTTATTGGTAAAATTCTATTTCTTCAATGATTATATAAATTTAAATAATGGACCAATGAGAGGAAGACAAGAATCACGTAAACTTTTGGACTTTTTAACAAAAGGTAATAACCAAATCACACGCCGTATAAATATAGTAGTTAGTCAATTTTTGGTATTTGCATGGAAGAGAGTCATCCAAGTCAATTTCAGTCAATTTCGAGATAGAAACCAACGAGTGAAGTTTAACCCACGTCAAAAAAGAGTATGTAATGTGAATATGACTTATTGAAACTAACCCATTTACAGATAAAACGACATATTTAGTAACTGGTCGTTGTCATAATCTTATATTAAGATTTAAAAAAAAAAACATTATGTTAATTTTCAAAAAAAAAAAAAAACATTATGTTATTTTGGTAAGCAGAACCGTAAACATTGGATATGTGAGTGGTGGGTGGCAACACAGTGGAGAGACCAATCAAAGCGTGGAATTGTGACGGAATTAACGGCATTATTCTTATAACATATAAATAATAACGCATTTGTTACTTTTTTTAATATATATTTCTAATAATTTTTAAAAAAATGTGACACTTAATCTTATAGGGTGATCGTTGATCGTTTGAAGAAAATAAATATATAAACAAAGAAGGCAAAGTCAACTGTCCGAAAGGGTGTTTCGGTGTATTGAGATTAAGACATTTCCAAAGTGATTGGCTGATTTACATTTGTTATCATTATCAACTTTAATCAGGGAAGAACAACCTTCGGTTGCTCTCTATCTATACAAGATTGCAGATCTTTTTATATTTTACGCACATGTTAATAATCATAGTATTGATCTACCAAGATATATAAAGAGTGTTTTTAAGCTTAGCGGGTTTTAAATTCTTACTATAGGTTTACATCGAAAAATTATGGGTTGAAAATTTGAAATTATGTGGTTAGTTTGTGTACGTATTTGGGCACGTCGTCTGTATGTTAGTGTGCGTGTGTAGATTATAGGATGAGAGGAAATAGTTAATTGGATAATGGTGAGCTAAATTAAAGAAGCACAAACGGAACATTCTATTTGTCAYTGCTATAGGGATCAAAAGCACATTACTTCACTTTCACATTTACACGAAAATATCTCAGGCACCAAAAAGTGTTAAAACAGAGAGATCATGGTTTTGAAAAAAAAATGTCAAAAAGAAATATTAATATTTGGCCAACTTGGAGATATATCTTAATATGGTGGATTTTTAATTTGTTTGTTTGTTCATGTTCTTTTCCAATATTATAGAACCCACTACTAATATGTATACATAACATTAATTGCAATTTTAGTTATATTTGAGTATTTGACCATCGTAAATACTTTAAAGGATACAATACCGACTTTCACCATAGGTTTGAATAATATGAGTTTCATTACGAGTACCCAAGTTATAAAAGGGCTAAAATAATTAAACCATTTAAAAATTATACGA